GTTCTCTTCTTCTTTTCCGTCCCTCCGCTCCCTCCTCCCTCGTTCTCTCTCTTCTCTCTCTCTCTCTCTCTCTCTCTCACTCTCGGTATTACTCCTATATTGGTATTGCCTACGTTGAGTTACTACGTGAGCTCGAGCTTTTTCTTCGAGCTTTGGATGGAACGACGGCTTTTCTTTCTTTTTTTTTTTCTTCTTTTTTTATACAAATGACGGTCGATGACGTTTCTTTTCTTTCAAGCGTTATTCGCCCCGCCCAACCCCTATCCTCCTGTGAACGACACGGGACGAGAGGGGAAGGGGAGGGTTCGCTTTCGAGCCACGATCACGATCGTGGCCGCGACCGAGATCGTGGGGGACGGGAGAGCGTAGATATATATATACGTCTCGCTCGTTTCTCGCTTTCGCGCAGAGAACGCTCGTGTGTGTGTGTGTGTGTGTGTGTGTTTGTTTGTTGCGTGTAAACGCCTCGAATGCGGATGTAGCTATTGCGGCGAAATTGCAATTAATGCAATGTACAACGTAACAGTGTCGCATGCGATGTTCCCTACTCCGTGCGACTGTTGACAGATAGCGGCCGTGCGTGAGCGGTGGGCTCGCGACCGGTGGCAAGCTTTCGTCGCGTGACGAAGTTTGTCACGAAGCTTCTTCGCGGATCGAATCTGCATACAACGGAACGTACGTAAAGGGAATGATAATCGTCTCGTTGCGAGAGTAGTAGTAGTAAAATTTTCTTTATCTTTACGAAACTTTTCGTCGAATGTTTACAAATGATCGGATTGGAAGAGGAAAAGAGAAAAGATTAAAGCTCGCTATCCGTCAACTGTCAGCCGAGAAAAGCCGAGAAGTCGAAAGAACGCGTTCGCGTGCCTCGGTAAAACGGCGCGAGTTGGCGCTCGTTGACCGAGCGCAACCCCCTGTTACCAACCCTCTAAGCGAGCCGCGTTATCCATCGATCGATAACCCCACCTCCCCCCCCCTCCCTCCTTTTTTTGAATCCTCCGATTAAAGGCGCGATTAATTATCCCACCTGGCCCCACCCTCATTCGGATCAGGCGTGACCCTCGTGAAAACAAAAAAAATTAAAAAAAAAAAAAAGAAAAATCCAAAACAACAGTGAAACAACAGTGAACGTATTTTAGTAGCGGGCCGAGGGAGCGAACACGTCACCCTCGAGCGGCGACCAGCGACAGTCGATAATCTCACGGAAGGTAAAACAGGATGGTGCAGCCCGTCTGCCACCCCTTTTCGTTTTTTCTTTTTAACCGACCGAGCGCCGGCGAGTTTGCACCCCCTTTTACAACTTACCAAGCGCTTGCGGCTTCTCTTTTTTTGGTCATGAGCTTTTTCCACAGATAACGTAACCGTTGTCCGATTCAGCTTTCATAGGCCTTGTTTTCTATATTCTGCCTCCATTATGTATTATTATACATACATATATATATATGTATCGCTCTTATTTACACTCGTTTACATTCTCTCTGTATCCACTTCACACTCGTGAACTTCTCTCTCTCTCTCTCTCTCTCTCTCTCCTTCTTTTTTTTCTTTAGCAACGCATCACCTTCCAATCTTCATCCCTCTTCTTCCTCCTCCCCATTTCTCTCTCTCTCTCTCTCTCGTATACTATTTGTATACCGTTTACAAGACGAGCACCGTAGCATCGCTCGGTCAGCCATTTTGTACTCCCATCGCGAAGGGAAAATTGTCTGAAATCTGAAAAAATTTGCGCGGAGGATGGCTTCGTGATGATTATCCGGAGAGAATCCATGGAGTACGGAAGGCTGATCGAAGCATGGGAGCTAACTTGAACTTGTTAATTACGCTTTTTTATCACGCGATGGGGCAAAAGAAATTGGCTGAATTTCTTCTTTTTTTTTTCTTTCCTTTTCTTTTCTATTTACACGGCTTTCTTCTCTTCATCCTCTCTTTCTTTTCCATTCAAACGAATTATATCCGGTTCGATTTCCGGATAATAAGATATTATATCGGGGACGGTCTCGAGAAGGGAGATTACAATCGCGTCATTGTACAAATCATCGCGTTAGAATAAAGATTTCCCATGCTTCCCTGTCTTCATGTATATCTATATAACACTTATGTATACATACATACATATACATTATATATATATATATATATATATATGTATATATAATATTATAATATATATATATATATATACACATATCATCTTGCAGAAAGTAGAAATTATCGCATTGTCATCTCTATGAATAATTACACGGTCTTTTTTACAATTAAACGATCTTTCTTTCACAGGTATGCAGCTTTTAGTGCAGAATTGACTTAACCCAATAACGAACACACTATTTATAACGCTTTTAGATCGAGATATAGGCTCGGTTGTTTCGTTTTCCTTATTCTTCTTTCTTTTCATTTTAATTTTCTTCTTGTTCCACGAATATACCTACACCGTACGTAGGCTCTTTTCCACCACTCTCTTCTTTTACCTTTTCTCTTTTTTTCTCTTTCTACTCAGTAATGAAACCTTTCGTTGGTAAAACCGTTATTTTTTTTGTAAAATAAATAGACGACAATTTATCTATCATTCGAGATTTATATCTGTGTGCTTACTATTTTGACCGTATTTTAGAATAGTGGTTGTAACTGATTTGATTAGCAAGACAGACTTTGTTCAGGCGTTAACATCGACAAGATCGAGCCTTTCTCTTTCAAATTCTCTACGGTATCAATTTTTTCTTAGACGTCGATCAATCGATCGATTTTTCTTTCTTCTTCTTTCTTCTTCTCCTTTTTTTTTCTTTCTCTTACGCCTCGAAAGCTTCGACAAACCAGAAAAAAGAAAAGAAAAAAAAAAAAAGAATTGCATTGTGAAGTTGTTTGGCAAATTGTTATACGCGCGAACATACAGATTAGTTACGCCAGATCAAATCACCGTTACCGTAATCATTTTTTCCGAGACACCGTTGGATTTAGTTTTGATTTGAATCGAGCCTGTATTTCACACAGTATAGTTTTGACAATAGGATAACGAGATATATCGTGAAATATATACGATAACATCCTCGTCTGAGTCCCGTCTGACGCCGATATTCTGTGTTTCTAGCAACTAAACATTCGAAAATCTTTCCCGGCGTCGCGTCCGAAAGTGACTTGCAAAAATGGCGGATGTCCAAAGACCGGAAGTCGCCATCCCTCAGCCAGATGGGGCCAGATTCCATCAAACACAAAGTAAGTGCCGAAAAAACTACCGATCCGATCTTCTATCGGATTCGGCTTGTTAATTCTAAAAAAAAAAAAAAGGAATGGTCGATCTTGATGCTTCGTTTTCGCGTTTTTGCAGTTCTCCTTGCAGGACAACGGGTCCGCGAAATACTTTCAAGGAGCGATGCACACGTCGAACATGGGAGAAAAGGTAGCCCAGGTAAGCCACGATTTCCAACGGGATTTCCCTCGATCGTCTCGATGGTCGGATTTTAGTTTGGAAAACACGCGTTGGGCGAAAGTCAGCAGCCTACGAGATGGCGCGAATCTACGTGCAAACCTTGGTACTTTTGGCCGAGGAGGGGGAACATTCTCGTTAGACCAGTTTTTCGACTTTTAACAACGTCACGTTATCTTGGGGGACTTTTTTTGGGAGGGGAAAAGAAAAATTCCGATCCAGAGAAAAAAAATTTCTTCGCCTTCGCGTTCTTTGATTTCTCTCCTTCTTTTTTCTTTTTCCTCCTCTTGTCCTTCTTGAATTCTTGACACGAGGCGGCAAAAATATCGTTCCTCGAGAAAACTTTTGATTCCTTTGGAAGGAAGTTTTGCATTGGATAGGAGAATTTTCCTCGTAAGGGAAATGTTTCTTCTTCGAAAGTAAATCTTTTTTTTTTAACGGTTCGAAAGAGAAGACGAAATGGGGGTTTTCTTATCCGAGTTCGACTCGATTCAGGGAAAGATGAAATCAGTCGTGTCTTTAACAAAGCGATCCAAGTTTCGAAGTAATCGTCTCAGAACGCGAAGCCTTTATAACCTTTTGTGTTTCGACGCTTGTTTCCTCGTCTTGCAAATTGTTTTCCAGTAAGCTCCTTTATTAACGCTGAATATCTTCGAAAGTTTAGCGTTATTCGGTTTATTTCTCCTCTATTCCGTGACCTCGTTTGATCGACATGCACCACCACGTCCATTTCCCAGGAACACTTGTCCGGCATATTTCATCTCGCATCACTGAAAACGGAAGATCTCCATATTCGTCGATCGTTCCGCCAATGAAATTTCCATGGAGAAAGATCCTTGTCCTCCTTTATCCTCCGACGAGAAAAAGAAAAATATAATCTTTCCCAATTCTACGAGATATGGAAATATCGATCCGCTCGAAAACGAGCGGGCGAATCCGTTTGAAGGAACGCGTCGTGGTGGGGCAGGGGATGGTATAAATAGCGAAAAGATAATGTTGGATTGTCCATCTATCCATCTGCCAAGAAATTTCATTTCTCGGAGACGAAAGAAAAGAGACGAAGAATTCTATGTAGGTCATTTAAAAATGCGCTCATGTACCACCCTTGCGTTGTTTTATCGATCACAATGTGCAATGCATATATTACCTTTCGTACCATCCTCCCACCTGTTCTCCCCTGACAAACATCTATATTTATTCTTCGCCAGTGAAGGAATGAATATTTTATGACACACCAAACGTGTTACGTGTTATTTCAAAAAAGAAAGACAAAAAAAAAAAAGAAAAATGCAATAGCGGAACACAAGTTATTTTTCCTTGGAAAAATACTGACCCAGTATCGCTATTTATAGTTTCTAGGTCTCGTAGAGGAGCGATACAGTTGTTTCGAACGAAATTCACAGCATTGTTGCCAATCATGTGGCAGAGTGGTAGGACGTTTATCATGACACCCCGTGGTAACGCGGCCCCGGCTGGCGCCAATCAGTCTGCGCCGCAGTCGCCGGGGGCGGGAATACCCCGCACACCCTGGATTTCCACAAATTGGTGCCGATTTTGTGCCGTATAATACCGAGCCTTCTCCAAAAATTCCCCGTCTCGCCAAATTTCTTCCCTCCGTCCTTGGTGGGAACAATTTCACGTGTAAAAAGAGGGAACGTGTAAAAAATATCTCGATCATTGATTTCGATCTCTTGCCGAGGTAAGAGAATTTAAATTGAAAAACAAACGACACGAGAAGATGGAATCTCTCGTTCTTAAAAATTAAAATCGTGAAAATGGTGATATCGTTCGAAATCATTCTGTCCGTCTTGATTGATTATTCCAATCGAAACGACGACCGAATCGTATAAAAATCGATACCACGCGACGACAGGTTGCCGAATAATTTATAACTCTCGAGGAGGGAGAGGGTAAGAAGAGTTGACTCTCCCCGGTGAAGAAAGATTTCCGTCGGCGACGGGAACAAGTGGCGGCATATACTTTGCTCTCGTCATTGCTTTTCTCCTCGGCCCGAGGATCGTATGGATGGATGGTGAGAAGCCCACTTGATCGGTCCTCCTCCTCCGCCGGGGAGACCGCCGGCCTTTAAACATTTTCCTTGTTTGAAATAGCGGCGATGCCTCGTAGCCGACACGCTTATCGACTTGTAGAGGGTCAAATGTCGTCTCGAGACTTTCAACTGGTCGTGGAGAAAGAGCTCGTTCGACACGAATAACGCGTTTGGCACGTATTTACAAGCACGTGTTAAAGTGATAAACTTGATTGACCCGTTTATACAGATCGTGAAAATAGAGCAAACACTCGATGTTTCGATGATTTTCGAGGGGGACAGGATTTCGATGGATAGATACATGTATATATATATATATAATGGTTTAAGCTAATTTCACAACGTTACGATCGAATCGACATCGAATCTTTCTATCGGATCATCCCCTTAACCGAGTTTCACAAAATTTTTTCGTGCATACGAAACTGGGGGAAACTTCGTAATCGATACGATATGGCCGCAGTTACGGCAATTTTGTCTTTGCTTTGCGACGAGAGAGAGAAGAATTTTTCATTGATAAAAGATGGAATAAACGCCTCGAATAATTTGAAAAACGTTACGTTTCAAGCAGAGCAATTACCAAACGAATAGTTTTCTCCATCTTTCTTTCTCCCACTACAAATACGGAAAAGAGGGATATTTCAGTTTTTCGTTCGCAAATCGTTGGAACAATCGTTGAACAGCCGTTTCCTCGAAATCGCTTCCCACTTTATCGGCTCGATGATATTTTTAATGGTATCAATTTGTCGTCGCGATACTTTCTTCCGTGAATCTTTGATCCGATCGATGCGCTCTTTCTCGTCGAGACGAAATGCGGGCAACAGAATGGTTTTTCCCCCTCGACATTCGATCGGTCAAGCTCATCATCGTTGCACCCAAGCTATTTACATCGAAGCCGCCGATATCGATAACCGATACCGCGCCCCTCGTCACAGGCCTCGAGCAACGTTGTTGCCACGATCGTCGCGGAAACTATTACGCTGGATTAAAGACACGCCTATTGTTGGCCGCCGACAAACGGTTGCCCACGATCTTCTTCGATAACCAACGAAGAAACAATTTGTAAAATTATTCGTAAAATACCCTCCCCTCGAGTCTAAGACGAAAGTTTAAGGCGAAATTTTAAGACGATCCCGAAAGTTTAAGACGATCGCGATTCTATCAATCGTCGATTTGTTCGATGATATTTTTCTCTTCCCGTTTTTAAAGGAGGGAAGAGATTTTTTTTCTATTATCGTATGTTTTTTTTTGAATTTGAGATTCGGGAGATTGGTTCGGATGATCGCAAAGATTGTTTGAAAAAAAAAAGGGTAAATTGTTCGATCGAATCGTGTATTTTGTGCACAAGATTTCGCACAAGAAAAATATTATTACACGGTTCGTTACGTTGAATAATCGAAGCGTGTGATGGGGTAATCGCGTTTCTTTGTAAAAAATAACCCCTTAAACCGCGTTTGTTATCTCTGAACCGTAAAAAATTGTCCGCGAAATTTAAAATTTAAAAGGATTAATTAACTGGAGATTAATTATCGTGTAATTACATCACTCTGAACAAAGATCGTCTCGTTAAAGCGACGAGTGACAACGTCGAATATTGCCGTGTAATAGCAACGAGGCGAGAGCCAATCCTTGAATCAAAGGAAAAAAGATGTTCCTTCGAATCCAAACAGTGGAACGAACGCTGCATTGATCAGACGACGGATATATACATAACACTGTTCCGAAAACAATAAAAAAAACAGTATCCCATAGAATAATAAAAATTATTGTTCCAAAATGAAAAGAAACAAAAAAAAAAAAGGAAAAATTTGCTGTGGCAAATTCGCAACGAAGAGAAAAGACACCAATCTATATTAAGATCTCCAAGCATCGCTGGCCAGAACGACAAGGAATCTTCGATAAAACGAATATCCCAATATCCAAGAGAAGAAGCAGCAGCGGAGAAAGAAGGAGGGGAAAGGGAGAGAAAAAAGAAGAAAAGAAGAAAGAGGAGGAGAAACGAAAGAAGAGCAAGGAGGTAAAAGAGAGAAAGAGAGAGAGAAGGCGATCCCGGAAGAAAGAACGAGCGAAGCGCGAGGGTAAAAGGGACGGCGATACACCGAGGAGCGGTGTAAAAGAGAGGGCGTATATAGCGTTGATCGAAGAGAGAGAGAGAGAGCGAGCGAGAGGGAGCGATGGGGAGTGTGGAAGGTGCGCTGGAGGGAAAGGAGGGGTGGTTGGCAGAGGCTCGCCGATAGAAGGCGCTATTGTCAGTGTCGCAGTATCCCCCGTCCTGCCCGGCAGGTTACACCGTCGCCACTCCGTCCACATCGTCCCTGAAGGAGCGCAGAGAGCACATGTAAACGGTGAATAAGACTGAAAAAAGGCCGGGCTGCGCGTGTCACCACGATCGAAGCGTTCGCGGCCGTTCATCGTATTCTCGTCCAACGAATGGGGGATGGCGCGCGTTTCATTCCCCGATGCGAGCGAAAAAGGGAGAATGGATCGAGGGAGGGTCGAGGAAAACAGAGAGCGAGAGCGAGAGAGAGGAGGGGGGGTGAGGGAGAGAGAGATAGAGAGAGAGAGAGAGAGAGAGAGAGAAATTCACGCGGAAGATTATCGAGTGGTGTGCAGCAGGACGGTTAATCCGATCGGTTGGATCGCGTTTGATCGATGACAGACTCGGAAGAAAATCGTGTCGAGTTACGTGGCGAGTTGTCAACCCCTCGGTCGAGCCACGGAGGGGAGGGGAGGGAGAGGAGGAAGGACGGTGTCGGGCACAAATCGCACAACTCTTCGCTCAGTGTCATCCTCCGGATTGGACGTTTGTTGAGTTGAGATAGGTCGTGATCATCGATCGATTCGTACGGAACGAGGGAGGGTAAATTCGGAGGTTGAAGCGTACAAGGTGGAACGAACGAATTCGTTCGCGTCCTCGATCGTGTTGTGTCTA